AAAAATAAATATTAATTTTTTTTTTTTTTTATAAAAAAAAGTTTAGTCGAGCAGAAGAAAAAAAAAAAACAGATTGCTCGAGACCGAAATAGGCTGAAAATGTGGTCGGCAATCGACATATGGTGAAGAACATAAGATTTTAATACGAAATAAAAAGGTTGGTGATTGAATGGGAAATCCCCAAAGAACCCTTAGTGAGATGATGGCCTTTGTGGATCAAAATTTAGTTCACCCCATGGTGTGTGTGTCTCTCTGTCTCTCTCTCTCACTCACTCTTTTTGGAGTAACTAACAAATTCTTGTCCAGCATACGGTGCTTCAGAAAAAAGCTTTTTTTTTTTTCATTAACGTTTCTTCTTCTCGATTTTCAATTTCATTTCATTTCATTAAAAATTATTTTTTCTATTTTTCTTTGTTTTCGTTTTATTGTCTGCAAAGGAAAAAAAAAATAATAATAATAATAACGAATTTATTTTTTTCTTCGTATGAATAAAAAATATTTTGAAATAATAAAAAAAACTAAATTTTAAAATTAAAAAAAAAAAAGGAAAAAATAATTTTCAAAGGCGTGACGATTATGACGATGACGATGACGACGATGATGATAATGATGATAACATTGAATTCAGGCACCAGAACTGGCGACGAATGTAAAAATTTTTTTTTATGCAAAATCTAATAATAAAAATGCTGTAAAAAAAGAAAAAGAAAAAGAAAAAATTCACTTTTTTTTTCTTTTTCTTTTTTTTTTTTTTGCACCTCCTCAACTCTTTTATTTTCATCTTACTTTTTACCACCCACCTCCTCACTATTTCTTCTTTCTTAATATTTTTCCTTGAAAACAATGATTAAGTATAAAAAATAATAATAATAATAAAAAATAAAAAGAAAATTTATTTTTTCAAATAAATTTTCCGTTTGAAATTTTATAGCGTTCCCCACTACTACCACCGCGAATATCGTTCGACGCTCTATATAAATTTGTTCAAAAGCTATAAAAAAAAATTAATTTATAATATGCACGCGCACGTACGCATACGTACGCACAAACACCTCACAGGCACCGGTAATGTATAATGTAAAGGAGGAGAGAACAAAAAAAAAGTTTATGAAATTTTTACTTTCCATTATTATTATTATTATTTCATTATAAAATATTTTTCATATATGAGTATGAGTAATACGAAACCTTTTAATGTTATCGAAATTGATAACAATAACAAGTTTTTTTTTTTTTTTTTTAAATAATAATAATAATGCATTGCTTTAAAATGAATGTGCGAGATGTTAAATTTAAAAGTTTTATTTATAAAAAAAAAAAAATATGTTTGGAGATAAAGCAAAACAGTTTGGTTTGGTATACATATACGAAATGGCATTTAATTGTAACAATCCCCCGTAGACTGTTCTAGTTAAAACACCCTTGGCAATCCTCTCTCTCTTTCTCTCTCTCACCCCAATTCCTGGTGGTATTCAATAATAATAAGTACGAACTACCCTTTTTTTTTCAAATGAAATAAGACCATCTGTCCTCTAAAAATCAACCTGTTCAATGCCAATAATATTTTTCTTTTGTGTTGTTTGCTTTGACTAAAAAATAGTACCACCTTATTGTTGAAGTACGAAAACTGTTAATCTTTTGTCTTTTTTTCATATCGCCGCCTGTTTTTTTTTTTTTTTTTATCAATATTGCGTTTGTCGTTCGAGTTCATACAAAAAAATTATTAAGTGGTAATTATTATATTTTGTTTGTTTCCCTTAATAACAATCTTTTAAATAATTTTTTTTTTCCTTATAGTTACGTAAAAGTCATAAAAATAAGAAAATTTGACTCGCGCGTAACAACAACAACAACAACAATCAATTAAATAAAATAAAATAAAGACAAAAAAATGCGATAACAAATTTTGATTGATTTATTGAACTTCTCGTGCACATCATTTATATAATAAGAAACGCGTGTGTACAAACGTGCAAACGTTTGTGCCACCGTTTGTTGCTCCCCTTTAAAAAAAAAAAACCTCGATTGATAATTTATCCGATTAGATTAACCGTAAAGAAAATTTTTTTTTTTTTAATGTGACAAGTTATAAAAAAAATTCATTTACCCCAAAATATAAATCTCGTTTAAAACAGACGACATTTTATTTAAATATTCATTCGTTCTTCTTTTGGGTTGTTTTCAATCGACGACGACAACAACAACAAAAAAAAAAAGAAATTTTTATAATGATAAAATGGCAACGTCGGAATAAGAATATTGTTCGTTCAGACAGGGTGTTGGAATTGAAATAAGGAAAAAATCTCCATAATAAAAAATAATTTATTTTCAAGGTTTAGTAGTAGTCACAGGACGGGAATGTATGTAAGCAATATTTATGAGCCTAAAAAAATTAACTTCTTATTTTTTTCTCTTATGCTCAAAAAAATAAAAAAGAAGAAGCAGAAGAAAAGAAAAAGAGAAAAGAAAAGAAAAGAAAAAATTTTTTTTTCTTTTTTTTCTTTCTTTCTTTTGAAAAAAACAAAATTTTTTTTTTCTTTTTCGTAATTTATTATATTATTTAAATAAATTTAAATATTATATCTGGCGTTATGATTCATAATATACACTCACGCACGCACTCACGCACGCACGTATGCACACGTACGGTCGTTAAAAAATTATTCGAATTTCGAATATTAATAATAATAATAATTATAATAATAATATTTAGTATCTAATTTATCTAAATAAATTTTTTTAAAAATTATTTTTCTTACTTTTTATTTTTTTTTAACTTGTTTTTATTATTATTATTATTAATTTATTTACGCTTTGATTACCGTGATAAATTTGTTTTGTTTTTTTGTAATAAACGAATTATTATTATTATTATTATTATTATTATTATTATTATTATTATTATTATTATTATGAGTAAGTTTTTTTTGTAAGGGAAAATGCTTTGAAAATGAAGTAACAAAAAGGGATTTTTTTTAATTTCAAATATCAGGGAAACCTTTTCCTTTTTAAGGTTTAAAAACTTGCCAAAAAAAAAAAAAAAACTTTTCAATATTACTA